AGCCTCCCGTGCTCCCAGTACTGCAGCAGCACAGTCAGGACCTGTCATGCCATAAAAATATTGGAGCATTAAATGTATTAGATAAAATTCCCTCTGTTAATAAAGTAGCTCACGTCCTGGAAATCTGAGCAGTGAGCAGTGCAATTTCACCACTGATAGGACTGGATTAAGTTCTTCCCACAAAAGCCTCTTATTGTATGAAAAAGACCATTAGCAACCTTTGAAATCAATAGGGACCGGCCCTGGTGCTGCAGCACTCGGCTCAGCCGGCACTGCCGATAGCACCAGATAGCCTGGGGGTCCTGAGAGCTCTGCAGGAAGGAGTGGGCTGAAGCCGGAGCTGGTGCTGGTGCTGGCAGGATCGGCAGGAGTGGCCCCTGAGCGCAGGGAGCTCTTCCCAGCGGGCAGCCGGAGCTGCCAGGCACATGCCAGGGTAACGGGGCAAGGGATGGGAGCTGGCAACACAGCACATCCCTCCTCATCCTTCTCCCCAGAGCCTTTGGGGCTGCTCAGCTTCTCTTGTTACAAACTGGGCTGGGAGCTTCTCCCCTCAGCCCCTGTAAACAGCCACCACCATTCCAAAGGCCTCTGCTCCAGGAGCCCAGCAGAGCCCTGACCGCCTGGGAGATGCTGGGCAAATTTTGGTTATATTTCAAATCTCACAGAGTACATGAGGATCCATCCAGTGCTGGCACAGAAAGGAAAATGCTTCCCTGGCACTGCTCCAGACAGGGCATCTTTGCTGTGCTGACAGTCCCCCTAATTTAATTATCCTTGCTCCAGCGCCTCTGTCTCACCATTCCCAGGAGGCAGGGTTCTCCAGAGGCCTGTTTTCAGTGGTTCCAATTTCACTGCAATTCGCTGCCATCCAAAGGCAGGACAGGAGCTGTGGGGCCAGCCAGGACCACAGGCACCCGGCTGCCACCAGTGGGTGGGTGGGAAATGGTTCCTCTGGAGCATCTGGGGCTGGATTTCAGCCTGGGCTTCTGCTCCTCACAGGGGATGCACCGGGTGGGCACAGCTATAGTCACACCCTTGGCCAGGGCAGTGGCTCTGAGATGGAATTTCCAATAACTCTCCCAAGGGTAATTCACACCCTGCAACAAACAGATGCAGAATACAAGCGAGAAGGAGAAGGGCCCTGGATTTTTAAAAGACGTAGTAACAGCAAGTGAGGGCAATACATTATTTAAAGGCTTCTACAAGGAAAGAAAATAATTTCAGCTTAGTTAGCTTTTTAGGACAGCCTAGCAGAGAGCAGGGAGCGCAGTGCTGGGGGCAGCAGGCTGAGTGCTGGAGCGGGGTGATGCACAGAGCCTGCTGCCAACGGGCACGGGGCAGCAGCACCAAGCACCACGGGGCTGCAGGTCCCACCCAGCACCTGTGGCTCTGGCCAGAGCACAGAGGGGATGTGCCACAGCGCCTGGCTCCATGCGGGGTGCCAGGGACGCGCTGATGGGTGCTGCAGGAACGCAGCAATGATGGAGAGCACGGCACAATGGGCACTGTGGTGCTGGGCACTCTGATGGATGGGGTGTCAGTGGGTTTAATCCAGAGTCATTAGCCATGTTGAATGCTTGCATATCATTTGTTAAACTAATGGATCGCTGGAGGTCATTCAACAACAAGAAAGGGAGAGCAGGGTTATTAGTTTTTATCAGACGTTAATTGGCCAAAATCGATTACTTGTTTGGCATTTGCAGTGTTCTAGGGGTGTCCCCCCCCGCAGCCCTCCAGCCGGCAGAGCGGCTCCTCCGGGATGGACCCTTGGGCCGATGCCATCCAAGGGGTTCCAGTCCCCCTGCTTCCCATCAGCTTGTCCCAGGGACTGATGAGAGTCACTCAGGACCCCAGAGCCGCCTGCACCCCAGGCTGCCTCCTGCCCAGCCCAGGGCAGCACCGTTGGCAGTGTCCCTGCAGGCCTCCTGGCCCCTCCAGATTCCCCAGTTCCCCCCATTTTCCCAGCCCTCCCACCTCCCTTGGCTCCCCTAGTTGTGGCACAGAGCAGCAAAACGAGCTGGGAACTCACTCAGGTGAGGCCACATCTATCTAACAAGCTTCTAAATGAAAACTAGCATTTGGACTTACTGCATTTGGGCTCAAAATTTGATTACATTTTTCTACAGCTGTAAATCTGCCTCCCTTTCTGCAACATTATTATTAAAGGCAGTATTGAATTGGTGGTGTGATACGTAAAATTTCAATCCTGCCTTTGACATTCCAGGAAGTTAAAAACCAATTACAGTGTGTGCTTTGCCTCAGGACAGAATGAATCATTGAACACAGCCACTTCACCGAGAGAAATTAAAGGTTGAAGCAGCAACATGGGGAAGGTATTAAGTTAAAAATCAAAGGTCAATTAAAGTAAAACTGAGTCTATTTTATTTTTTATATTTTGCTTACATTTTCATTCCTTTCTGATGAACAAGGAGGAAAAATAAACCTGCACTTGTATTTATTTGCCAGGTTATAAATTCAGGGTGAAGCTGGTTTCAGAAGCTGAAACACTGAGGTGAAAAAAATCCCAATAACCAGCATTACTCTGGCTGCAACGAAGCCAGCACAGCAACAGCGTAGCACCTGTCCCCACAGCAGAGCAAGGGTCCCCATGGGACCCTTCACCATCACCCTGAGCCCACAGGGTCCCACTTGTCCCCAGAGCTTGGCTGTGCCATGCTTGGACGGGCAGCACCAATTGCAAAAGGTGTGAAAGAGGGTCAAATCTGGCACTGAGAAGTGCAAAGAGCTTTGTGCCCCACAGTCAGCACCTCCCTTGGGCCCACTGAGTACAGCAGGATGTGCAGGGTGGGAAGTGCAGCGGGTCCCACGGCACAACCAGCACGACCAGCCCCACCACACAAATCACTTCATAAATCAGTGACGAAGTCGCTCTGCTCCCTCCCTGACAGGGGAGGAGATCACAGCCCATGAACTGATCCAGTGCCAGGTCCCTCCTAACCAGGCGTGACAGGAGCCCTGGTTTGCTGGATCCAGTGGCCATGCAGGGGCAGGATCGGTGCTGCCTGGCCCAGGGTCACCAAAGCAGCAAACAGGGCAGGGAGTTATCTCTGAGCTGTGGCAGGAGCTGCTGACTCCTCCAGTGACACAAGGATCGGAGGCACTTCCCTTGCTCGGCAGGAGCCTGATAGCACAAACACCTTCAGCGTGGGTTCTAATAGATAATCCATACCTTGAAGTGCAGTCTATCATCTGCTTGTTACCCATGATAAATCATTTGCAAAGTATTAAAACGCTTAAAGACTGTCACAGGGGCTTCAGGAATTGCTTTGCAACATGCACAGTCTGCCTGTTAAAGGAGCAAACGGATTCACGGTGGAGCCAGGCAGTGCCGGTGGACACAGCGTTATTTACAGTCTGGGGCACAGAGCTGTGGAGCAGTGCGGGGCAACCCCTCCTGGCTCCCTGTCACCACTGCTGACACAGTCTGATCCCAGCTCTGTAGTTAAGGCCATTAGGAAGCATGATCGTTTTCCAAGGAACCAGTTCTGCGAGATTAAAAACGGAACACAGGCACTGTGGGGTACTTACATCCACACCGAGTGTGAACCACGGGGAGACAATTCAGGCTCATTTCCATAAAACCAGAATTAGACAGTAGCTAACAGCAGGGAGAGCAGCTGTTACAGCACCGAGACACCTGAAACAACACTCCCTGGCACTGTGTGACAGAGACAGCACATCCAGCCCAGGGACAACAGGGGTGGCTGGGCTGGGACAGTGACAGGGGTCACCTGCTCCAGGGACCTGCTTCCCAGGAACCCCACATCCCCAGACCTGCAGGGATGCACAAGCAGGACAATGACCCACAGGTCCAGGAATCCACAACCAGCCTTGACCTGCAAAGCCACCAACACTCATCACTAGAGAAATGCAGCAAGGGGGCTGGCAGAGCTGGAGCAAGGACACGTGAAAGGGTGGTGGGGGTGCCCTGCACCAGAGCCCTCCACACAGCAGTCCCCTGCCAACCCCAGCCCCAGCTTTGCCCACTGGCTATCACCTCCTGCCACCCACAGCAGCGAGACCAAGCTCCAGGCAGGAAGGGACACATTATGGACCCAGGTCCTGTGGCATTTTGGGCCAGGAGACCCCAGCCAGACCCTCATCCACCATGGGATGGAGAACAGGAGACCAGAAGAGACCCCCACACCTTCAGAAGGCACTCAGGACACCCCTGCCCACAATGTGGCCCAGCCTGAGGGACTTTTAATGGTCCCCTTCCACCCATCACACCCTGAGCCCCACACCTGGGTACCCACTGTAAACCGGTAAATACACCTGGGAATCAGCCAGAAGCTGGTGTCAGCATTTCTTATTAAAAGCAGGGTTTTTGCTCTACGACAGACTAGTTTTATGTTCCCATAAATTGCCAACAGTTGGTCAGATCCCCACAGAGCCAGGATCGATACCCAGCCGAGGGGAAAAAGTGCTGAGGAAGGAAAAGCAATACTCCAATTAGAGCAAAATTTAGGAGTCCAGGGGTAGGGGTGACAGTGCCTAATGTGTTACAATTTATTGATGGTCTCCCAAAGACTGGGTTTTGTTCTGGCTCTCAGAGGCAGTTGTTAATAAATATCCAGCCAGGCAGCTGCAGCGACTCGCACCTCCATCCACTGCACCCTTGGCCCTGCTTGGCACAACCAGTGACCATTCCCACACGGTTCTGCTCTTTCAGCCTAACATGGGGTGTTCTTGGCTCCTCTGGTTCATCCATTATTGGAGGGGCTCTGCTGATGCCCCCTGAGCTGGGACAAGGCAATCAACAGCCTTTGTGTGGGTGTGTGGGTGCCCACCAGCCACAGACCAGGCTCTGGGGCAGAGGGGCCAAGGGAACGCCTGGCACCCCCCCCACCAGTGCTGTCCAGGGACACCTCCACCTCCCCAGGGTGTCAGAAATCTGTGCCCAGCTCCCCAGTAATCTAATCCCAATTTACCACAGCATAATGCCAGTCCAGGAGTGACATCTGGGAGCCCCAGCCCTGGGCTCCCCTCCTGACACAGCTTTAACCACCCCTGAGTCCTGCCCTGCTCTGTCCTCACTGTGCACCAAGCCCCTGCCACAGACCCTCAGAAAGAGGGAGGCAATAAAATTAATCTCTCGAAGATCAAAGTTCTCATGTGTTTTCCATGGGCCTCTTGCTCCCTCCCAGCAAGGCTGGAGAACAGCAGCAGGGTCTCTGTTAAATCCCACGGCCAGAAAAACCCAGCTGGATTGGAGAAACGTTGGCAAATATAATAAACACAAGTACATTAACTCTAATTCTGCAAAGCCTTTGGCTATATTAATCTCTCTTTAATGTAATCACCTATAGATAAGTGATGAGCCCATGATTTAATACGACATCTGCCATCCCCATTTCTACACAAGTGAAGCAATGCCTCTAGTACATGGTAAGGGTGGGACTCATGTGCGTGACTGCCCAGCACAGCACCCAGGCTGAGGCTCTGGCTTGCCTTTCCCAGCAGGATGGATAGAAACACAGACCAAAGCTGCATGGCAGGGGCTGGCAGGGGCCATGTGTCCCCAGAGGCTCAGGGACCCGTGGGAGCAAGGGGTGATGCAGCATAGCTGTTGGCAAACGCACCATCAGCATTTCTGTGACCAAAGCCAGGCAATGGGAGATCAGGGCGGTCAATTTGGAGATTTGGGGACCAAGGGGGATTCAAAGGTAACTCCCACCTTGGTGAGCACTGAAGGAGCATGGGGCATGCACCAACAGTGCTGCTGACCTGTGTCAACAGTCCCCCCCCTGCAAAAACGTGCATGGAGGAGAAAGGAGAGAGGAAAAAATCCTTGCAAATTAAAAATTGTGTTGAAAGGTGAGTTTGTGAAGCTTGACCCAGCCCCTGCTGCACCAATCCGAGGGCTTAATGGAGCAGTAGGATCACAGTCTGCAGTGGAAATGCCCTCCAAGAGCCAACCACATTGTCTTCCATTCTTCCCCGTTCTTCAGCTGAGAGGACATGCTGGACCACTAAAGCATTTTGCACCCCGTTTGACCTGAGACTGGGCAGCCCAGCAGCCACGGGGATGGTGCCTGCAGCCACGGCAGCTGGAGCAGCTCTCCCAGCCCAGGGGGTCACCTACAGATGATACACCAGGGACAGAGGTTTCCCTTCAGCAGCTGGGAGCAACAGCCCATCCTCCTCCTGCCTTGCTCCATCCTCATCCTCACTGGGCAGGTGGCAGGAACAGCCCATCCACATATTCCCATCTGGCAGCCACACGCTCCCCTCGGTCCAGAACCACCACTGCACACCCTGCTGAAGGAAAAATAGTGTTTAATTAGCATAGACCTGGAGGAGCTTCAAGCCTCCAGAGCCTGGTGACAGCAAGAAGGGAACAGGCCTTTGGCCCCGTTGTGGACAGAGGCAGTCTAAGGAGCTTCTGGAAGTGTGGGGGTCTGGCTGGGGATCTCTTGGCCCCAAATGCTGCAGGGCTTGGGTCCATAAGGTCCCTCCTGCCTGGAAGCTCGGTCTCGCTGCTGTGGGTGGCAGGAGCTGGTGGGCAGCAAGCAGGGATGGGGCTGGGGGTGGCAGGGGACTGGTCTGGTTGTGGGAGGCCCCCCAAGCCCCTTCATGCTGGGGGCTGAGCCCAGACATGAGGCACAACAGGGCAGACGGAGAAGAATCCCACCTCAGCCTGGGCAGGTATGAACCCCCAAACCCCAAAGAGGAGCCAGATGACATTCCCCTGCCCACAGGGCTCACAGACCAAACTCACCGGCACAAAGGCTCTGGTGCAGGTCCCCCCCTCGCTCTCGGGACTGTGGCCGAGCGCCGCAGGACCTGGGCTGATGGTCTGTGGAGAGAGAAGCATCAGGGACAACATGGGGGAAGGCAGGAACCCGTGCCTGCCCCGCCCCAGCACACAGGTCTGTGCCCAAAACCAGGCCTCTGTGTTTCCCCAAAGGAGCCCTGAGCAGGGCACAGGGGGAAGGTTTCCAAGCCCACGCCCCCATCCCATGCCTGGAACAAGGCAGGGAAGAGCGTCCCGCGAGCGGGAACACGGCGAGGCTGGAGCCTGCAGCCTGGAAAAATGCTCACTCAGGCAGGATGCCTAGTAATAAATTTATTGTATTTTATTACATATTCCCCTTTTTGCACTTAATTCCAATTCCTCATATTCAAACTCTTCTTTCTGAAAGAAAATGATTTTTAACATAAAAATATAAATTCTGCATATTAAAAGTGCATACACCTTGAATAATAAAACATACAAATAAATAATAAAAGGCATTGACACAGTCTCATGCACTTGTCCTCAAATAATTTAAAATTTATGGTACAATGTTCAACCCCAAGTAAAGACAGCCTGCTTTCCAATTACTGTACAGGTCAAAAACATTAAAATACAGAGGAGAATATCAAAGGTGTGGGCAAACCCCACGTCCCTGTACCAGGTACAGTGATGTGACATGCAGTTTGAGAACTGTAGATATTCCAGTGTAAAATCTGACATGGTGTCCAGAAGAGAAACTGCATTTGCAACAGGACTTAAAATTCAATTTTAACCAATGGTGAGGCACAGGTGGTGAGCAAATCTGTAGAAATTCATACCTGGAAGGCCACAGGACAATAATGGAACCACCTGTGGCCTGGATTCCCTTGTGTCACCCTACCCAAGGCAATAGAGCACCTCCAAAGGGGTTTATTGCACTCACAAATGCCACACAAGCCTGAGGCCAGCGTGCATGTGCTGCAGGGCCGAGTGAGCCAGTTACACTTAGTTTTAATCTGTGTCTTATTTGCAGATAAATTGAGTGCTATCACCTTTATAAAAATAGAAGAGTCCCTAAGCCTTTAGACCTAACAGACATTGTACAAGTCTTCAGGTGCTTTTCTTTTACAAAATAAAGCTCCTAACTGCTTTATGGTGCTTTTGTTGAGAAAAACATGTAGGACTTTCATCTCACCACAGATTAAAACTAAATTTCAGTTCCCTCCACAAGTAACATCAGATACTGCCAAATTCTTTTGGATTAGTATGCAAATGACAAAGATACAAAAAAAAACAGAACCAAAAAAAAAAAAAAAAAAAACAACCAAAAAAAAAGAAAACACCACCAAACCAACAGTACAATTATTTGGAATGTCATTTCCAAACCCCCTCCGTGCTGGCTGGCTGAGGTGAGGGCACCAGGCCCATGGGGCCAAGGACCAAGAAGCCCTCACTGGCTGCCCCAGCCACGCAGCACAGCCACCCCGGTGGGACCTGCTGTCCAACAGGACACGGGTCAAACCTTCCACCACGGGGTTCTGGAGCACAAAGGAGAAGCCTAGTCACCCCCACGGGCAGCTGGGACTCTCCTGGGAAGGCAAGCAGAGCCCAGAGACCAGTACGGGCAGCACCAACAACTGGGAGCCGCTCCCCTCACACAGACACTCGGCAGCAGCTCCGTGAGTGCCCTCCATGAGTGCCCACACAGCTGCCTGCCCCTCCTGACAGCGCTGAGCGAGCCTTTACATCACCTGGAGTGACAGGCTTCACACGGAACCCTGACCGGGACTGCCCTGCTAAGAAAAGAAAAAACAACACAAAACAGAAATCAGTTGTTCTCATTTCCCCGCTCCGATCCCTCTGACCTTACGCTATACTCCAGCCTCGTCAGTAATGCAGAATCCTGCAAAGGAAAGAGTCCAAGATGTGCAAAGGAAGCAGGAACCCAGGGACATGCTCCTGTGTGCCAGCAGCAGCTGCACCACGAGGCAGCAGCACAAACTCCAAGCGGTGCTCCGGAGCCTCTGGAGTGGCTCCAACACTGAGCACAGCCACGGCTGGGCGAGAGGCTTGCATAGTTAGTAGGGACATGCATCGGGGACAGCACGGCCATGCAAGCTGCCTGGCACTGAGAAAAATGGTTAGTCATGCTCAAGTTTTGGCTTCAGAAAGCAAACCCCTGCAGCGACGGCGGATGAGGGCACTTGCAGTGGGAGAAGTGCAATTAAGCTGGTAGCTTTCTATCCTAAGCATCTTGTTTTTATTAAGCCATATTTGATAAGTCTGAAAGGGTTAACAATTTATACACCCAAAGTGAGACACGAGTTACAGAGAACTGCAGGCACCAAATTGTCTATCAAATGTGATTAATACAAATAAAAGGTGCCTCTTTAATACACATCATTGAAAATGTGCTTGTAACTTGAATACTAAACACTATCCAAAAGACATAGCCCAAAAAGGGTAAAAAAAAGTCTCTAGGTGACTCCAGTAGGAACTGAGCACTGGAATGAAGGCGCTGCTCTCCTGTGCCCAGAGGGCCAACTGCAGGAACAGGAGCAAGTGGCAGACTAGGGACGTGGGGTGAAACACAAGTTACACACACTGGTACAGGTGAGTCCAACCCAGAGTCAATTGGAAATATGCTGCCTCGAAGCCTGTTTTGCCTTAGAGCTCACCTAGCTGGTTGGGGAGCAGGGACCCTGCTGAACCCCCCTCTTCCCATGCATTTCCCACCAGCTCGAGGCTGCCCTGTACACCTTTGCTCCCAGGTCCTCGGCACAGGTGTCCCAGATCCCGCCACCCCCAGCCAGGCACGCTTGTGGTGTTGGCATCTCGGACCTGGCAGATCTCTGTCTAGAGTGCTCCCTGGTACCATGCCACATGGTGACAGCTGGACAGCCATACGTGTGGACAGGAATTCCTATACCTGAAAGGGCCAAGCAAAGGCTAGTTTAAAGCAAGGAGAGAAGACTGATGTTGCATTTCCCCAAATCCCTTGAATTAGGGCCTGCAGTAACCTACATTTAGTTTCAGAAACATTTACTTTACGTCACTGATGGAGCCCTGACTTAACCAGCAAACAAGGCTTGGATTGACACTCCCAGTGAACAGTGTTTCCTGGACCCACACCCTTCAGCCCCCTCCCGCGCAAGGAAGCTTATTTACTACCAAAGATCCGTGACACCAATAAGCAGAGGTGCAGAGTGACAAGTGGCTGCATTCCCAAGTGCTCTGTTACAAAAAGACTATGGAACAGGGACTGTGTTTCCCAGGGACCACAGGCGCACACCTTGCACATTTTACCCAGTGCCTGCCTTGTATTCCACGAACACTGCAGCACACCCTTGTAAGTCAAACTGTTTTGCCTGAGGACACAGCAAGTCAAGCCCTCCTGAGCAGAAAACCCACCAGAGAGGAGCAGCATCCCACCCACTCCGAGACGAGGGCCCTGTCGGTGCAGCCCCTCCTGCCCACTCGCGCTCCACCGCAGAGTAAGGAGCCTGTGCACCAGAGCTGCTGTTGCAGAGGGACAGAGAAATCCAGCCTGGCAGGATACAAAGAAGAGATAGTGCTGGAGCTGGTAGCAATTCCCATCAGGAATTATGGGGAAAGAGAGCAAGATTGCATTCCATGGGACTGCAGAGGTTCAACTGCTTTTATCAGCTGCTGGAACACCAGGACCTCCATTCCCCTTCTGTCCAAATGGGAGCTCCAAGGACCATTCTCTTACCCCAGATACAAACACTGAACTGGCATTCAGTTAAAACGCCAGTTTGGACATGGCTTCAAATTCCCTTCAGCAAGGCATGCAAAACTATCTCAAAACCCACACACCAGCTTCCAGTTCAAACTCCTTCAGTGAGCGATGGCATGAAAAGAAAACATCGACTGATAAAAATAACCTTTCACAAATGTCCAAGGTAAAAAGCACAGAAACTAGTTCTGTCTATTAAAAGATCCCAACCCGAGTCAGCACAAGCCATCGGAATTACATTCTTGCTACAAGAGTTGTTACAAGAGAAGAGCCAAGACAGTGTAAGACCTTAATACAGATAAAACCTTAAACAAATACTTCAACATCAACATTTCAGGGAGTAATTTAAGTACTACAACATGAAGCAGGTCTTATCTGCTCTGCTGGATATAACAGAAAATAATCCAAGAATAATCCAAGTCATACATTGCAGAAGCAAGCAATACAATCTTTGCTTCTTGTCACTGCAATAAATGAGTCTGAAACACCCAGGAGAAGGAATGCATCGAGGGGACAGTGACACTGGGGTTAGGACAGTCAGGGCACAGCGCCTAGCACGGTGTTACACGTGCAGGCTGCAGGCGGTGCCGGGCTGCAGTGGGACATCACTGAGACATGGCACCACAGCTGGGCTCACCCTCACAACCGACCCCAGCTCAGTCTCACACACACTCTGAGGTGCCAGCTACCCCCAGCCTTTGCCTCCCAAGCTTGCTGCAGGTGTGCGTGAGCAGAGAAGTGATCATGGAGCAGCAAGGTGCCCAGCAGACCTGGGGGCAAGGCTGCCTGCAGGGCCAGCAGCACCTCAGCAAGGAAGGAGGTGGCACGGGACAGTTTGTTACACTGACAGGACAGAGCACACTGCCTGGCCCCAAGCTATACCCAGAGAAGCTCTGCCATCAGACTGCAGGACAGGAACAGACCTCCCGAAGAGCAAAGCGTGCCCAGCACACTGCCCAGCACGTTGTGACCTACACGACAGACTGCTGCTGACATAAGCGATATGCAGCACATCAGTACAAATTACGGAATCGAAAACAAAAAGATTACACCACATGTATACAAAAGAACTTGAGGAATCCACCTTAAAAGGAATCTTACAGAAGTTGAGGAATGTACTCTGTAAGAAGGGCATGTAAACGAAGTAGATGTAGTGTTCTGACCCTGATGGAGGCTGTCATCCAAACAAGAAGGGGACCATTCTGCTGAGGGACGAGTGGCAGCTAGACCTGCAGGGAGGGAACAAGCATGCCAGAAGGAGGAACATACAGCACTCTGGAGAACAGGAAAATTGCTCCAGGGTTTGGGTATGGGCCTTCCAATCCCTACAAAGAGGCCTGTCAAAGCCTGCTCAGAGAGGGCAGGGCCACACTTGATCTAAACATCACCTCTAGAGAGAACGGAGGCTTAATCTCAACACTATGATAAGGGTCTGGGCACATTAGGAAACGCTTCCCAGGAGTTTAAACAGGAGGGTCCTGAGAGTATCACGGCTACCCAGGTGTGTGGACACAGCTCTCCTATAGCACTGCTTCCACAGCACCTCCACACGTACGAGCTGACCACCAGCTGCTGCCCAGGGATTTCTTCTGTCACGCAGTAGAGCGTTTCAGAAGGAAGTAGTTAAAAAGGACAGAGTAGAGGTTGCCTTAGGTATGGACAGAGCAAAACTCTTCATAAACTTAGCGACAAAAAAATGCACATTACATTTCAGGGAGAAAACCCAAACTTCCTTCCGCTGGAATGCAAAAATGAAACCTATTACAGACGCGCGCACACGGACACACAGGTACCTTTCTGTCCGTCACTAATGCTAGTCACTCCTATACTGGCTGAGTATATACCTGAGAAACAACATTAGTGTTGAAATATTGCCCTTTAGAAAGCTTGAAAATGGAGGGGAGCAGGGAGAGAGGGTTGAGAGCAGAAAGAAGCGGCAGTCTCTCCAGATTCCTTCGCATCCTCCACAGCTCGGAACAAGGCCATACACCAGTGTGGACACAGTCCACTCGGAGCAAGACCAAAGGAATACCAGTTCACAGCTCTACAAAGCACACAAGTGTCAGTACAACCAGGGGTCAGATTCCAAACCTCAAATCTGAAGAAAGTTGTTGCACTTTCAACAGAGACTCCTGTACAAGTGCTATGGGACAGCTGCATTCATGTTCAACAACGACTCCAGCTAGGCTACTTGCACCAGTGCTGGCTGCCTGTGGCTATTTGGTTTGATGGCAGAATCAAAAGGCGCTTTAACAACTTGCAGTTAACTTCTCCTCAAAACATACATTAGGCACATGAACAAAAAAACCCAAGAGCTCAGAATAAATTAGCTTTTCAGCAGAAGAAAAGACACCTGGATTGCAGCATTTCACTGAGGTTCCAGAGAAGGCTGTACAGACACCTGCATGCTGGAAGGTAATTTTTTCAGCGGCTTGTCAGCAGGCTGCTTGCCACTGGAAGGAGAAGACTGGACTCCAGGATCTAGCTGGGAAGACTTGGACTTGCGACTGGATAGCAGAGAATGTTTGTTGGGTGTGGTATCCTTTGAGACAAGTTTTTCTTTAGCAGTAATGTTGGCATTGGTTTGGGAGGCTGGTGGGACAACACCTTTCTCTGGTTTATCCTCCAGCATGTTTTTACTGCCCGACTTGGAACTGACACTCCCTGTCTTTTTTGAGAGCATTGTTGTCTTCCCCAGGTCTGCTGACCTCCGGGTCTCCTTCTGCCTTAAGGCTGATTTAAAGAAAGACAACCCTTTCTCTTCTGACTTGCTGTCCCTCTTCAAACCAGAACGTGCCCCGGCATTTGGAGACCGCAGGTTGGCCATGGAGGAGCTCCGCACGTGCTTGCTGTCCACTGCCCTGCTGTCGCTCCTGGAGTGGCTGATCCGTGGGGAGCTCGTTCTTGAGCTGCTGGTAACGCTTGTTTTATCCGACCCCAGACTTATCTTGGAGCCCTCCCTGCTGAGGCTGCGGTCGGAAGTCCGGCTCTTCCCAGCGGAAGAGCCCTTAGTCAGTGAGCCTGATGGGGTTTTCTTGGCAGCTGTGGAGGATGGAGAAGAACCTGACTTTTGCCTCTGTTGCGCCGATGGAACAGATGTCTCCAGTGGCTTCGTGCTGTGATCCTTCCTAGCCTGAGCAGGAGCAGGAGACCCATGTCGCCCACTGGCCCTAGAAGAGTCTGTCTTACTTCTAGACCGGGAAACTTTCTGGGAACTCTTCAGTGGAGGAGAAGAGTGAGAGACTTTGGTCTCTTGGGTAGATAAAACCGTCCTTCCCTTCCTCATACTTTTGTCCGGCTCAGAAGCTCCCTTGGAGCTGTGACCCTTCTTAGGGGTGTCACGTGCCTTCTCTGCAGCCAGCCCCGTCCCACCAGGGGCTTTCACCTCCTTCACTGGGGAGCTGTCCACAGAATCGCTCTGGTCAACAAAGGCGATTTGATTGTTGTTATCAAAAGGGTCCAGAGCAGGGTGATTCCTGTCTGGCTGCACAGAGCTTTTACCATACCCATCTGAAAGGTCTGAGCTTGATGTCCTTACAACCGACTCTTCCCTGAACGCCCCTTCCATGACAGCCAAAGGGGCTCTACGAGCCGTCCTGTGCTCTCGCCGACCGCTGTCACAAGGCTCCAAGTAGCTACTGGACAGATTCCTCAGGCTGCCAAAACATGAGGTGGAGACTTTGTCATCAGTAGCTTCCCCAATCTTCTCCAGGGTGGAAGCAGAAGTGTGTACTGGGGAATCTCCAGAGAAGCGCGACGGGGAGTTGGAGCGGAACTGGAGTTTTGCAGAGAGTGACCATGAGGGTCTGACGCCGTTTTCACTCACTGCCAGTGGGCTGGTGACAGAGGATCTGGACGACAAGCTCTGACGCTGGACACTCCTTACAAATGGCCGAGTTGAAAATCCTCCTGCGGAGAAAGCCAGCAACAGTCTTAATGTGAAAGCCAAGCCTGCAGCTGGTTTATCCCACCCATCCACATTTCCCTACCAGAGCCAGGTAGCCCAACCACACCACACTAAGTCTCTCTCCATGCCTGCTGCAGGCACAGCTTCTTGGACAAAAGCTGAATAAGAAATCCAACAACTATTATTTGCTAGTGGTCACCCAGGAGTAACACTCTGAAGCCTGTCAGTAAAACCCCAGATTCTTCTCTCATCCCTGAGCAGCAGGAGATCAAACGCAGGGTTTGCACCCTGGAAGTCCTTGAAACTGGCAAGAGGTTCACCAGCTAGGATTCTGATTCTGTATTAAAGAATATTTCCCAAAGCATCCTATGAAAGGCAGAGTAGGATTCCTACCTCTAGATCAAGTGATGTATTTGTATTTACAAACACAAAATATAACTAAGCCTTTTAGAATTGTGACTCCCATGGCCAGATCTGACAGCTGTTACATTGCTGCTGCAGGGACACGTCCACACGCTTCCAAATGCCCCAGCTGACCTGTGAAGCTCCACATTCTCAGAAGTTACAAGGCACTGTGTGGAGGAGCCAGGCAAAGCCAGGAATTGAAGAGTTACTTGCACACGAGTGGCTTTGAATCTTCCCTGCTCCCTGGGAGCAGCCAGCAGCACAGCAGCAGGCAATTAGTGCCTTTGCTAAGCTGTAGCACTGTGTCAGCCTCCCAGACAAGGTGCTGCAGTGAGACCCAGAGAAAACACAAACAGAAGAATTTCTTGATTGAGAGGTTTCATTGATAGTATTTGCTTTCTTTTAAAGGTTCCTGCCCTGCTCTCCTCCATCCTTTCATACCAGAGAGAAGCTCACCTGTGCTCCTACCAACCAGGCACCTGCCTCCCCCAGCTGCTGGAGCAATTGTCCCTTGTAACCACAGATTTTGCAGCTATTTTAGTAGGGATCTCGCTGCGGCCCAGTTTCCCGTCCCCCCTCCACTGATACACACCATCATCTTCACTCCGTTCCCCAGCGAGCTCCACCGACTCCGAGAGCGAGGCGAGGGAGGTGCGGCGCGACGAGGCGGCCGAGGCGATGCTGGGCTGTTTGCTGCCAGGGAGCCGGCTGACCCAGTGCTCGCACAGCGAGGAGCTCGTGGAGCCTGCAAGGACCAGGCACGGCAGTCAGGGACGTACCACACTGCTCTGGCTTCGGCACACACCCACAGCCTGGAGCTGGCCCACACGGCCACAGCAGCCAGACACTGCCAAGGGAATGGGCCTTTACTCTTATGGATTATTTACGGTCAGAAGAGAAAGGCACAACTGCCACTTGTCCCATTGTGCTGTCAACACCAGCGTGCAGGCAGCGCTTGAGCTGCCACCACACCACGAAAATCCCTTCCTTTCCAAAGGCAGGTCACCAAGCCCGCACCTGCCCCCAGCTCACCCTGGATTCCACCAACACGTGCGCTGCTGGTGCCTCCTTGGGGCCAACAGTGCTGCCACAGGGAAGGAAGGAGTCACGTTTTGATGTCCTGGTTTTGACAAGGGCAGCTCTGATCAGAGCCACGCTTAGGGGTGCAGGGGGCATCCCCCATCTCCACAGCCTCCCTGACACAACTGCCTTGGCAGAAGAGGCAGGAGGTTCTCATGGCCTCTAATCCACACCCACAAGCCTTGCTGGGCTCCGGGGGAAAGAGTGGGGGCTTGAGCAGAGCTGGGTGGAAAATTCCTCAGAAAGACAAACTATCCACGGAAGACAACTTACAGCCACCCCAGACAGTGCCAGCAGGGCTTACCTGCCACCGAGCTGTTGGCAGACCACGAGGGGATTGCTGTGCGTCGCTGGTAGAACAGGATGTAAGCTGTCTGCTTGCAGACTTCGCTTTCAGAAAGTTGCTGAACATCACTGTCATCGAAGCAGTACCACTGGCCATCAACAGAGTTCTTGCAATATGCTGAGAGATAATACATTACTGTGAGACTTTCCTCACTCCTACCACTCTCAGGTTTGCTGTATGATACTTAACATGACCTTATTTGCTATGAGGGATTCAGAGGAGAATGAAAGGAACAGATTTATTCATGTTTCATCTTCCAGTTTGACTAGCAAGATGGGAGCCTGAGGCTGCCAGAACACAATAAACATCTCACATTTCAGGACTTTGTCCAACATTACTGCTCAGAACAGAACACCATTTGAGATGGCTCCATTCACTTCACCTTCTGTTACTTGTGGCATTCTGCCTCCATCAGGGCAGAATGCCACAAGAGTTCTGACTCCACACAGAAATATAACTGTTTTTTCTGTGAAAGGCTCCACCACAGACAACACTGCAGGACACTTGCCTGTATAGTGTCCCCCTTGCATGGTGCCATGGTGGTTGCAGACAGCATACAGGTCATAGATATAGTCCTCAGGATCCCTCCCGAGGCCATAAGGTCTCCTCCAAGGTGACCAGTGCGATGGCAAGCTCCAGCTGCTCTGGCTGCGTTTCACAACATGAGGAGTCATGTCCAAGCCACTCAGGGGGAATTTAACCATGTTCTGAAGTTTCATCCTTCGGTCTCCTTCCTGTGTGCAAAGAACAGCATGAGCTGCAGTGGCCCAAGGCCACCACAACCGGGAAAACAAAACCCAGGAGAGGAACGTGTAGGGCAAAACAGCTGCTTCTGAGGAGAGGGGGTCTAGTCAGGGCACTCCCTGGCTCTGCAGCAGTCCTCCAGCAATGCTGCAGGCATCCTTACCTGTCTAAACCTTTTGAGATGTATGATGAGAACATCAGGTAAGGTCCAGAGGCTCAGTGTGATGCTACCCTGCTGCAGCTGCTTGCAGTGTGGGCATCGCCATGCGTCATCTGGGGCAAGCTACAAGGAAGAGGCAGGAATGGGTATTGGTTTTCAAATTCCAAGGCAGCACACCACTGTTCCTCTGCTGCCCCAGGGCCCAATGCAGACTGCCTCATCCCTCTCTAGCCTTCATCAAGCTCACTGGAAATGCAGGGTTCCCAGTGATGTTTTTCAAATTAGTGACAAGCAGATACACACGTGCCTCACACAGGAGGCACTTGCTGCTGCAAGACGCAATTCAGCCAGTGCTGCTGTGCAGAGGAGCTGTTTGCACCTTATAAACACCGGTCCCTTTGAAGTGGGGAAGAAGGAAAAAACAAGGCAAAAAGCAGGCTGGTTTAACAGCCTGAGAAGGAGTATTCTCACAAGAAAACCAGCAGCAAAGAAGAAGTCAGAACAGAAAGAAAGGTGTACTTTGGATATCATCTCTGACACTTGACTGCTCCCTGGAAACCCTCTTCCTTCCTAGTCTGAACCAGAGTTATACACTGCAGTGTCCTTCCAAAGACACAAAGGCAACATGCACTTCCCCCTACAGCCAAGTGCTCAGAGAACTCAGCAGCCACAGAGCTTTAAGCTGTCAAACAACTCTTCCCTCAGCTGTGAAAGAAGCAGTAAGAGAGGGACTCCATTAGCAGCACAGGTAAGTTGTCTTGTGCTACAAATTTATTCTCCTGTCTCAAGGAATCACAGTTTATGGAGAAAAGCTGCTCCAGAGTGTGAGAGCTCCTGCAGCACATGGATCAGCCAGAGCACACAGTCTGTCCCTACCTGTTCCTCTTTGGTGTACAGTTGGAAACACTGAGATAAAGTGCAGATCTGAGGTTGATGATGAAGCTCTCTCTGCTGGCGGACGCTTTCAGAGTCTGGAATATACTCCTCTTCCGTATTCACAAACAAGCTGCACCAGGGAGACACCACATTTACCACCCGCTCCCCAGGCTGCCCCTGCAGACAGGGCCTGGGCACAGGTGGAGTTTGAGGGGGTCTGTTTGCTGAAGGGCGCACAATTCACATAAGCAAGCTGCAAGCACTGCTCGTGAGGTGAACACACTTAAAGGTTTTTTACTTTATACTTACTAATCTTTAGTTTCTTTGTCCCATTCTACCACTAATTTCACATGAGCAGTTCCCCCCTGTCCACATGACTTCAATGCCCTGCAGAGAGGAGCAGACAGGAGTCAGACCATCTTTCCATTCGAAGCCTACATTATCTTCTGTGTGCATATAATTTCTCTCCATCAGCCCTTCGCTCTTCCTCCACTCCCACAGCTCAAGTTTGCAAAGCAGTAAAACACATGGCAGAACTGGCAAATGCATTCACCCAAGTACGTGAGTTCTGCAAGGCACTGTACACTTGTTACAGAACAGGCATCTACCAATATTTCTAAAAAATAACAGACAAAAAAAGTTATAAATGAGGGGAGTAATATTTTCATTCTGTTCTCCATTTCTGAGGACAGACTCCAGACGGCATGTCACACAACTGAGCTATTCTTACACAGCTTCCTGCATTGTTTCCCTGCTCCTCAGGCCTCTGCAGTCCATTCCACACATCCACACCAGCACTGTCCCTTTCTGCACAGCTACACACCACATTTCCAGCTGACATGCCTCTCTCCACTCCTGGGAAAGACCCAGCACCCAAGAGCCAGCTCACCTTTCCACTGTTGGGTGGCAGAGGGGTCGCTCCTCCTGAGGTAGCAAGTACGTTATGCCCACAACACTGACCACTCGCAAGCTGAACGGGCAAACCTGCAACAGAGAAAGCAGAGGCCACCTCAGGGGCTTCAACCCAGCGTGCCCACGCTTTTGGCACTGGATGACCCTAGAACACGTGTCTGACACGAGACAGCAAATGTACAAGGTCTAAATATCCCTAGGCCAAGGAGCTGACAGTGGGTGAGGTGCAGCAACGGAGGCTGCGCACCCCACAGCTCCTCTGCGGTGACCACGCAGGACTTTGCCTCACCTGCAAGCAGGCTGCAGGCCGCAGGAAATACTGCATCTTCTCCAGAATTTCCTTCTGCAGAATATCCCAAGCAATTGTTTTTTCCAAATGCAACACAAAGGGCAAGCCAAACCTATGGGAAGAAGCAGTATTTGAGGGAGCAATGAAAAGATTATCCTGTTCAGCAATCACAGCCCTAAACTCTGCCAATGCCCCTCTCCCCCTCTCCCCCTCCCCTCATCTCAGCACCTATGGAGCACACTCCCCCAAACAGGGCATTTGGAAATTTGTCTCCAGAGGAGAGGGGCTTATCTTTGAGGCAATGCAGTTAGGGCTGCCCCTACAGAGGACCCTTCAGAGGGGCTGCAGCCCCACTCTGTGCCCCAGTGGCTGCTTCAAGCTGCAGAGCTTTGTGATCTGCCTCAAAGAGCTTCCTGTGAAGTTCTGTGAAGTTTCAGTGGCGGAGGCAGTTCCCAGGTTGTAGATGATACAAATGCCTTTGCCACGGCTGTTTCTCACTTCACCCCATCTACTTTGCCCTATTTTGACTCCAGTTTAAAATTGCCACCCATTACAGGGTTTGGTCAAATGTGCTGCTCTCAAGCCAGGCAGCTCTGCAGAGGGTGGTGTGTCCTCCCAACCAGGCTGCATTTGCCACCTTCCAGTAACACTGCACTACTTGAAGTTCACCAAAATTAGAAATATTTTGCTCCATCCATTAATGCATTTTGATCAGTATGTTCTTTAGCACCTGATGTGAGCTGGGATGCAAGCTGCTGCTCCTTCCCTTGGCGTCTGCACTACAGCAGAGTAAAACCCCGGTAAATTTAAGAAGCAGCCAGAAGAGCCAAACATCTGCTGCCAGTCACCTTTTGCTCTGCTGTCCAGTGCATGCTCTGTTACACACCAGCAAGACAATCTTGTCATTTGCTGCTGGTTTAGTAGAGGACTGTTCCAGTTTTCCAGACTTCACCATTCCTTGAGAGTAAGCTATTGTTCGGGAGTGCTCAGTGCCACATTTCAAGTTATTCAGGTTATTGTTCACATGTATTCCTGAAAAATTAGAAGAAAGGAAATGTTTTATTATGTCATTTGCTTCTAGTGCCCTGATGCCCCCTTAAGAAACCTTCCTTAGAGTGCAGAGGAGCAGACAATCAGAAGCATTTTCATCACTTGTATGAAGGCTTCAAAGAGCAATTACCTTTCACAGTAACTGTTTCTTTACAGAAGGACATTATATGCAAGTGCCCCCTTACCTGAGTTTTCACAGCAGTTTGCACAAGCACCCACAGCTTGTACTGCCTGCAAGAAAAATTAAAGTGCCAGGAACCCTACTTGTTACCTTCCACAATAAAATTTGCCTTTGATTACGCTCCACCTGCCCAGGATGTCACAATTCCCTTTCACGAGGGGAGATGCAGAGAGGCTGAGGGGTTTGAGCTTGGAAAGAGAAAGTGTTTGTTCATTCCTGAGACTGTTTATTCATCACTGGAAATCTGATTTTAAATAACACAATTTCAGTGGCTTCATCTGGTCCCTAGCAGCTCTTTAAATTAAGCCTGACAAGAAATTTCACATTAAGCCAGCCTAGACTGCAGCATCAGCCCTGGGAAGAGGCAGAAAGGATGTACAGCACTGCTTGATAACCTCCCAGCTGACAACACTATTAAATCTTCTGGAACGAGCCTGGACAAAGTCAGAGCTGAAATCAATACACCAGAACATCAACAGCTTGTGGGACACTTATTCTTTTCCCACACAAGCCTCCCTCATGAGTCACCTGAGGTGGACATTAAGCAGAGTTATCGACTCACCTCTCTGACTGAGGATGCCCTCGGGCCTGAAGATCTCTGGGGTCTCAAAGGCAAAAATGCAGTCGCTCTCATGGATGGTGTCCAGGTCATCAGTGTCGCAGAAGGAGCGATGGAACCCATCGTAGTACATCTCCGTCAGCACGATCTGGAGGCAGCACAAGCCAATCAGAACCCATCAAACCACCCGCACCCGGTCCACCTGAGCCACCCCACCTCTTAGCTGGGATTTTCCTGCTAAGGGATGGCATTCCTCAAAACATCCTGGCACCAGCCAGAAGCAGGGAACAGGGAAAAGGATGGTCATAAAAGAGAAGATGGGGTAAAGGCAACACATGAGGAGGTTTTGGTGGGATCCAACAGCTTTCCTGAAGCTCCTCCTACAGAGGAATTCCTCGCCCAATGGTTCCCTTACTGCCAGCATGCAGAGATCACCAGGGGGGTCAGGCAGGTCTGCACAATCCACTGAGGGCTATTCCAACATCACTGGGTTTCAAGCAGCCAACACACAGGGGAAAGCATGATCCAGATTTTCCACTCCCCTGCTTCCCACATTCAACTACAGGCAGCGAATTTCAATTCATATATCTGACAAGGGACAAAAGCCCCCTCCCTCCCTCCCACTGCAGGGATGCTGTGCAGGTGGGCAGCCCAGCCCATTACCTGCTCCGTGGGTATCTTGGTTTCCGAGGAGACGGCCTCCCGCAGCCTGGCCACCGTTCCAGAGATGGGCACAGCCACTCCAATCCGCATGCAGTGCGAGCACTTGCCCTGGTACACCACAGTGACAAAGAGTGGCCTGCAGAGAGCACAGGAGCACTGCTGGGGCTGGGGCTGGGCACCTCTGGAGCAGCCTCAGCCCAGCCTGGGCACATCCAGGCTGCCCACCAGGTTCAGGGCCTTCCTGGCTGCCTGGATCCACCTCACACTGGAGTTGTGCTCAGCTGCAGCCAGAAAAGCGTGTCTGATTTACAGACTCCTTCCTTACTACATGGCCTGGCGTTACTCACTCCCCCAGGAGGAGCACCTCAAAAAAAGTCCCACAAAGTTAAAACCAAAACTGCCTATGACAAAGCAATCAGTTTTCTGGCAAGGAGCCAGCTTGGGACAGTTTGAGGCAGCACTTTGAGGCACTTAGACAGCTGTTGCTGTGAACAGGTTACCTCCCAGCCCTCAATCCTGCCTCCAACAGCAGCCAGCAGCACTACCTGGGGAGAGAAAAAGGGAGACACCCTCCCTGGAGAGCCCACTCAGCCTCCACCCGGTGGTGAAGCAGAGATTTCCAAAGCAAATGTGGCAATGTTTAATCTGTCCTGTCATCGCTCTGTTCCATTGCTTCTGGAAGCAACACAAGTTTTCTACATCCAAAACACCAGGTGAAGTTTGTTTATACCACAGATAGTTTTTCTGTGCATCTCTTTATCTTCACTCTGAACATTTTATGTGGATTTTTTTCCCCTCTCTGGAGCTTTTTTCTTTATTTGCAACAACTGTCTTTCAAAAAAGCAAAACATTTTGCAGGAAAGCTTTTAACTTCACTCTTTGAAATTGGAGCAATCAGTGAGACTGTTTGGAAAAAAAAAAAGAAGTGTTTCATCCTTTTCCCCTTTCTGAAACAAGTAAAAGGCTCAATTTTCCAATTTACCTGCAAAGCAAAAAATTAAAGCCCCATATCTTCCCATCTATCTTTCTTAGAGATCTACCAGAGAGCTTTTGCTGACATCTCTCTTCCTGCTGTAGCAAATGAAACAACGCTCCATGCATGAGAAACAGCCAACGTTAAGCTCAGGACAGTCCATACCGTGTGTGGGGCAGAGGGATCGGCAGCGAGATGCAGAGGAAAGGGTCAAAGGTGTTGCTTTGCTTCTGGCAATGAGGGCACGTCAGGGAGGACCTGGAACAAACATGGATAACAGGGCAGAGTTACACCTCACTTCATCAGGAATGTGAAAATCACGAAATCCCCAAAAATAGCCTTCCCACATCAATCTGGTTTTTTCTTTTCTACTCGTTTCTAAACCCTTTTAAAGCAATTAGTCTCAAACATTCATTACAGGGCATGCCAGGAAATATTTCACTCCAGTCCCTGAATGTGGCTTTTAATAAACATCGCTGCAAAACTAATAATTCACCAACAGTAGCTTCAGTGTGGATGGCCTGGAAAGGTTTTGCCTTTGGAGAGAGGTGAAGTGATAGGATAGGGATGCTGACAGTCAGCACTGAGGTGCACACAGCTCTTACTCAAAAGGGGAAAAACTCCAGACAAATTCTCTCACATTCACAATTAACCTGCATCTTACACTGGCTTTGTGACTTAGACCAGGCTTAAGGTTTCTCCTCTGCGAAGGAGAATACTGGCAAATACTGGGGAGTAAGCTCAGCAATTACAATTCTTATAGCAGCACAGATGCAAGCCATCCAGGAACACTGGCAATTCAGCTGTTCTCTTCTATTGGCTCTGAAATCAGAAAGCTTACTTCCCAGAAAGGAGAGAAACTCATGGGAGAACCCCAAAGAGACAGTGACAGCTTCAGCTCAGAATTCCCAAGTGCCAGATGACAGGCACTCTGCACACACCAGGGACCTGCAACTCCCAGGCACCTCCAGACCCTGCTGTGGGCTCTTCCCTCTGATAGCCAGGGTGAGGCTCATAGCATTGGGCTCTCCTGAGGCTTCAGTCCACTGAGTGACTCGCTCTCTCAGGATGCATTGGGGCAGGTGCAGTGCTACACACTGGAGGTTTATACAGAATATATTAAATTTGAAGTAATGAAATTCTCTCTCTCCTCTGGAGCAACGTTTTAGTTCAGACTCCCTTCACAGGAATTCAGAAACAGCTGTACTGGGAGCTAGTGCCAGTTTAGAATTATACTGAGGTCACCAGTATAAGCAATTTTGCCTCCACATTTACAAAATACCATACCTGTACTGGGCTTGAAAGAGTTCCTGCACGAAAGTGCTACTGATGGGAAAGGCTGGGCCCTCAAGCAGCACATCATCCTCCAGTGGCGGCTGAAAGAGACGAACAAACTCTCGAGGTATACCCAGGTGGAAGGTATGCCAAGCAGGTGGCTCCAGGACTCCAGTCAAATTTGTGCCCTCCTTGCCCAAAACCACCCGAAAAATGTCACAAGATTTTTAACTATCAAGTGTGCTCTCCTCCAAGGGGTGGGCACGCAGGAAGGTGAGGCAGGCAGGGCAGCCCAGGGAAGGGCAGGGTGCTCACACCTGATGAAGCCCAGTAGCCCCCTGGTACTTCCCAGCCCTTGCAGAGCCTCTGGCCACGCACACGACTGTCAGGGAACACTCACCAGGAGTTAGTGGAACAGCTGGTTATATTCCCAGGGCAGAAACAAACAGTATTTTAACCCAGTATTTTAACCTTTTGTTCCATCTGACTTACTGGAGTTGAGAGGCCAATAGGGAGAATTACTTTACCAGGAAAAGCTCTTTGCAAAGTTAGAGCTGCTCTCCCACGCTGGCTCCCAGCAGAATCCCTTACCTTGATCGGAGGCATGCTGCTGGAATTCACCACGTTGTTCAGATCCTCGTGCACTCTGTCGAGGAGCCAAAGGAGGAACTCCTGGGCATCGTGCTGGGCATTCCCACGGTACTGCATCGCATTCTTGGACACAATGTTCTGCAGAGAGAAGGGACAGTGGTGCGGTGACAGCGCCAGCATCAACACAGAGACGAGGCCAATTCCATCACCCCTACCCCTGCACCACAGGCTGTGACACTGCTCCTCTCATGGAATCTTGTTTGCTCAAGATGAATCAAACCAGCAATTTAATCTCCTCGTGCCCACTCACCCTGTCTCGCTCATTGCAGCTTTGGTGAGGTCACAGATTTCCCAAAAATTGATGCAGATGCTCTGTGCTAATCTAGGTCTACAATTCCTGGACTCAGTCAGGATCAGGACATCTAAATCACAAATGCCTCTACTATCTGATCATCATCATCATTCAGGTAGAGCAAAATTATTCCACATCAGCACCATCTCAAGCACCGGAACAGTACAGCATAGTCACCATGGAATTTTCTCCAGTGCATACCAAGGATCCACCATGCACAACTTGCTCATCCTAAATACCATCTTCTACTGTCATCCCAGCCAGCCAGGTGCAGCTTTCCCTGCACACAAGGAACCAAGGTGTCCCAGAATGACCGACACCAGAGCAGCACAGCACAGGACAGGTGCTGCTGGACAGGTGAACTCCAAACCAGGGGGACTCAGCCACAGCTGCAGTAGGCTGGCACTGCTGGGGATACACACACTGAGAGCCTGGAGAACCATCTAATTTACTTCTGAATTTCCAGAAACACCATCTCAGAAGGACACCAACACACCCAAGGGATTTGTTCAGACCTGGGTTTTTTTCGGATACAAATGAGAAGGGCTTGAATCTCACCGGCAGCCAAAATCTACTCTTTGCAGATTTATCCTTGCCCTGCAGCTGTGGAGACACCTTTAATAGCGTTGAAGTTTGCTCTGACCCCTCCAGCTGAGCCACACGTGCCCCTTCCTCAGGGCATCTCCTACTACTCGAAAAGCCTCTGGGAACCCACACAATATTTAGTAGGGAAGGCTGTTCCCCAACATCAGGAAACATTTTCTCAGCTCCAGCTCTCTGATCTCATTTTTACCTCCACAGTGCACCCCGAATGGCCAGCCAGCTCTTCTCACTGCACACTGGGGAACACAGCACAGGCTTTGGAGAGTGGGAGCCAGGCACTAGCCCCTGCACTCAGCTGGAATTGCCTCTGGAGTAGCATCTGGTGGGCTGACTCCAGCTCCTGAGCCAGGGTTCCTCCCTCAGCAGCAATCACCATCGCCACAGAAGAGCCAGCCCATTCTGCTGCTCCAAGAAGGCACCAGCTGCAGCCGGGAGAGCCAGCCTGCTCCTCCCAAAACACCCGGGCATGGGGCAGCCACCCACACACACCCACCCCAGCAACTGTCCCCGAAGTCACTACCAGGCTTCTCTGCAAACACAAGGCTCATAGCAAAGCTCCCATCAGCCACATGGCTTGTCCCCAGTTCCCCTGTGCTGCGTGCCCCCGGGAGGAGAATCCTGCCTGGGATGTGCCCCGCTAGCACTGCGGCACCTTCACCACTGGCACACCTGAGGAGAGACGAAGTGCTCCCACAGGACTCAGACTTACTGAGCAGGGTCCCCAAGAGGGACAGGGGCACCAGCAGAGGCCAGACAGAACCTGCAGAACAGGAACAGGCAGGAAGGTTGCAGAGCCAAGAGCCTGGCAGGCTGCACACACACCCCGTACCAGAGCTCTTCCGCTCCTCTAATCAGACTTTGCAACAGATTTGAGAAATGAGGTTGGGCTGCTCGCTTTATCCCTCTGAAAATGGGGTCACTGGGGGGTGGGTAGTGGTGATGAAAGAGACAGGAAAGGACTGATAAACATATACTCTCTATCCTCTATAATCTGTCCACCTGCCTCAAGGCAGCAAAATAATGGAAAACAGAAATAATCTGCTCTCGTTACATATGCGCAGCCCTTCCGACAGCAGATTTACTGCCCTTGCCTGTGCAGGGACCAGCACCCTCCCACATAAAATATGTGCACACAGCTTGAACCAAGGGAGTGGTCCCCAGCCAACACTCACCTCAGTGCCACACAGGTGTGGACCACAGCACTTTCTCCCAGTGGCACCAGCACATCACTCCACTCCAGACCCTCCCTGGTTGTTCCTGTAGCGTGTCCCTGGTGATGCACTGTCCCACAGAGTGCTGCCAGTCCATCCCATCCCATCCCTGAGCAGAGCAGCCATGTGCCTTGCTCAGTATCTGTGTCACTGCTCGTCTCAGAAGCATCTCTATGATAACTGCTCAGGTTTCCTTGACACTCTCACAGCCTGAGTGGACTAGGGATAAAGAACTGCCTGTGGAGACACATCACAAGATGCTGGAAGTGATACAGGAAGTACTACAAAATATCAGATGCAATTTCCTCACAAGAGCCTCCGCTACAAAAACACTCCAGCAACAGCAGTGTGTTCCAGACATCACTCACTTTCTTCCAACACTGTTACAGGCGGGTCCCTTACTGCTTAAACTCTGTGGCTGCCCCCGGGAATGCTGTGCCCTCCTCCCGACCCACTCCAGCTGCAATGCAATGCCAGACACAGGGGGTGAGAAGAGGAGCAACAGACACACAGTTGGAACAGTCAGTGCTGAGGGACAATTAAATCCTAGAGACATAAAGGCGCCGACTCAAATTAACAATTTAACAATTGGAGACAAATACCAGGAACTCCTAAAGCACAGCCCCCCCTTACCTGATGGGTCAGCACCAAACATAGTCCCACATGCCACCCTGTACCCAGCCAGCCCCCTCACAAGGCTGAGGGCAGTGGGCACGAGAGCACTGGGGGGTCTCCAAGGCCCTGGGCAATAGACAGGGGCTGTACAGCAGTTGGGGGTCCCCAGGGCCCTGCGCTATAGATGGGAAACTGCAGCCTCTTGCCAGCCAGACTGGCCACTCCTGAACAACTGTGGGAATATTTGATGGATGAAGTAAGTACCTCATCACTGAGCACTGGCCACCCAGCACCTCTCCATATTTACTTTCCAAGACTGCCCTTCCAGCTTGGCAGCAGGTCATGCCCTTGCCATAACCCCAAACTTTCCCTCCTGTTTTGCTTGTCATGGAAGAGAAGACAGCACCACATTTTGCTGGTCCTGAAGTAATGCAACAGCATCTGCAACTCACTGAAGACACAGAGTTAAGAAGCAAATGCTTTAAAAACGCATGAAAACACCATATATACCAACCCCCAACAGCTTTTAACCTCTGCCCCTAATCTGGCTCTGCTGTAAGTATAGGTGGCACATCTGACCCACCTCCATCCAGCACTTAACACCCTGTATTAAGAACGACTGTGGAATGATTCTGATGCAGCTGTTTCAGCTCTGAGGCACCAGGAGTGGGCATGGGCTCTGACACTCCCCCCCAACACCTTCCACAACTGTGTAGCACCTGCAGCCCTTCCTCAGCTCAGCCCTTACAAGCTTGGCAGGAGGAGGATGGATCCTCCATTCCCCCAGATGTGCGAGCACCAGCACACAGGCACCCTAAATGAAGTGGCACCATCCCAAGGGCTAAAAGGAGGGGGGGGAAGTCAGAATTTCCTATCAATCCCACTCACTGACCTCCCCCTAATGCAGGTACCCTGCAATCAAACCAGTCCCTGCCCATCCATATAGCAGATTTACAACAAAGACACGTTATCATTTTTATCAGCCCACTGCAAATTTAATAATCATTCATCTACTGCTCTAAATAGATGCAATAAATAAATCCAAACAGAGCTAAACTACTGGCCTCTTCTTTGCTGCTATTATTGTTCCAGATCACAAAGACAACTAGAGGAAAAATGCCAGTCCACTATTTTTCCGCGTGGCCCTGGCAGGAAGCAGCTGTGGAAGGATTTTACACATGAACGGATGAAGCCAACTCGTTAGAGGCCTGACCCAGTGACACACGTGCACAGGAGAGAAAGGCTATTCTTTACCTTCCATTGAACAGTGAGTTATGCTCAACCACCTCATTTTTCCTTTTTAAGCCCACAGTCACACTTCTGTGTTTGGTAAGCTCTACAGTAGACACCTCATGAAGAGCGTACCTAAATTACTCCCTCTGCTCGCACACACAGGCCGTGCTTTTCCCTCTCTGGAGATGCTCTTTTCTGGGGAGAGCAAAACCCAGAAAGCAGCACAGTTTAGGCCTCGGGGCTCACATGCCCACTGCCCCCTCCCCAGCACTGAGGATGGGCAGAAGAGATCCCCGTGGGCTGATCCTTACCACATCCACCAGACAGGAAAAAGGAAGCTTTGACAACAGCAGGTCTGTCCCAGGAGCCAGGGTGGGACAAACACTTCTCCCTTGCTCCGTGGGCATCCAGAGGTGCCAGGCTCTGAAGGCAGCACCCCGTGGGACTGTGTCCCTGCACAGCTGGGCCCTGCCCACCACAGAAGGGAAGAAGCACAGCTACTTATGGGAACACTTCAGAAAACAAGCCAAGAGGAGCAGGGCAGGGAGCAGCACACCAGCACCAGAGGGAATCTCCACCACATTTAACAAGCCTGGACAGGAAGCATCAGCCCACTGGTCCCTGTCTGACATCAATCTCCTGCCAGCAGCTACTCTCACCCTTCCAAGCTGAAGACTCGGTTAATCCTCATTATCCACCTTGCTTCAACACATAAAGAGAGAGTGAAGTTTGCCCAGATGATGCTATCAGGGGCTGCCATGTGTGCACATGGACACAGAGGTGGACTGTGGGTGCTGCATTCCAAAACAGGCACGCTCCTTCCTGGGCCCTTTGCAGGAGTGCAGCTCTTGCCTGCCAGAAGGCACCACCACGAGTTGGTACTGGTTGCTGGGAAAATTCATCCTTATAAGGAGCAGAAACCCCACTTTGTTCAACAACAAGACCTTGTTTTCCTGCTACCCTAGCAGAGCAACCAGTGGGATTCAAAGGAATGAGGCACTGAGGAGCGGGGCAATGACACAAATATGAAGCAGCTCAGTAGAGTCAGTATATGCCAATGTAGAGGATGGACATGAGGTCTGGGCTCAGCAGCCTGAGGAGCTCATGCTCCAGCTGCACACCTGCACCTCTCCCACTCTCTCCAGGCTCAGCTTCGGGTCCCAAGTTGGACATAGACCCTGAGATGGGGGGATCTGATCACTACTGCTCCAGGGAGCCTCCCCATCCACTTTACAACAAACATTCACTTCAATAACACAGTCATATCCAAAGGAGTTCATTAAGCAGTGCTTTGCTCAAATGGCAGCAGGAATGGGTTCACCCCAATCAAGTGTGGCCATGTACAAAGGCCAGTGTAGAGCAACACAGATCCAATTAAGCTGCCTGGGAACTCACTTCCCCTCACCGCTTTCACTGGCTGCCAGGCATGACATGGTTCTCATACTTTCACCATGTGTCACTCTGCACAGGCAGCTGGAAGTAAGGACCTGGGAGCAAGACAGAAAACACATTTTGGAAACGACACACAGTTGCCCTTCCAGCCCTACAGAGGGTTCCCAGCCCCCAGGGCCACCTCGCAGTGGGGCTGCAGAGCTGCTCCACACTGGGGTCTCTTCCCTTGCCTCCCCCTCACCTGTCTCTCCACCCCAGAGGGGAGCACTCACACCACCCTTCTGCTGCCCCCTCCAGCAGAACCCCCTCAGCAAAACACATCCGACCCCCAGACCCCACCGGTCAGCCCTGGTTCCCTGGCCTTGTGCTGCACTCGCTCAGATCAAAGTTTGAAGCGTAACCCTGAAATCCCCAGAAAAGCCTTTGGATTTCACACATAAGTCAGACTGCTGCCTTAAGGCAGCAAGGATTTGCTGCAGTAAACCCTTCCCAGGGGGTTTACGTGTGTGTGGAGGGAGAATAAAACTATTGTAAGGAAATATACGCAAAGAAATAAGCAAAACAAAACACCCCTACCCCCCTCCCCACAGTAATGTACTTGCATCTTACTGATCATTAACATTTAAAAAAGTCTAACACGGCAAGTCTGCCAAAGACCTTTGTGATCCCAGTGAAACACATTCCCGTGATGTCAAAAACTCTCACAATAATGATGTAGAAAATCTGTAACTTGCTTTTTGTTTCAAGGAAAGTGTGTCAACTCCAAATCCCAGAGCAGCTCTAGGGTAAGCCTCCCCAGTGTGATACCACCACTGGGAGCACCTGGATTGAAATGGAATAAGCACTTCAAGATCCCACGTTATGTGGCCCCACTCAAAGCCCTTTTAGAGGAACACAGGATATGTAACACCAGGAATCAAGAGCCAAGAACCAGGAGGGAAGGGTGAAGGGTCTTGCGTTTTTTCTTTCATGTCCCTTTCTTCCATCTCCCTGTACAGAGGGAGGACAGTCATCTCTCCGCAGAAACATTTTAGGAATAAGCAGTTGACCCTCTCCCGAACAAAATAACTGATCCTGTGCTAAGCAGAGAGCAAGACAATTAAATATGATCTGGGAGATCCCACTTCACACATCACTGGTCCCGTCAGCAAAGCACAAGGGCTCTGGTGAGCAGAAGGGTTTGAGGCCGACAGCTCTGCGTGCGGGACCGAAGGCTCCCCATGCCCACATTCCCCCCAGCAGCCCCACTGAGAACGGCTCTCACCACACCTGCAAGGGGAGGCAAAGATCTGGGCACATCAACACTTTGCAGGAGTTCCTTCGTAACTCAGGACTTAGTGATTAACTTCCAAAGAAGCGCCCAACTCAGCTGGCACACTGCTTGTCCCAAGTGAGATATTTGCACCAAGTGCATTCCCAAAACACCTTGAAATGGAAGAGTTACACATACCTACTGTGACACCTCACATCAAACACAAATTTAAAAATAAATAAGGAAGCAGCACTTTTAACCTGGCACAATAATCCCTGCTCTACGAACAAGGATTCATTTTAGGTTCAGATCAAATTCTGATAATTCAACCCAACTGCACTATGGCGATTGTGCTGTATTTGCTGTACATGCTACAGGTCACAGTCAAGGCCATCTTTGTCTTGTAGGACAAAAAAACACAATCCCATCTGTAGCATGCAGAGGGTCTTGTTAAACACTGACATGCTTCAGTGTGCAACTGCCTCATGGCCTCAAAGTCTCAAAACAGAAAAAGCCTCATCATCCACAGGAGACCTGAACTCCATGGAAGGCAAAGGATTTGCATAAGATACAGGTTTTTCAAGCCCAATTAGTTCAAATCAAAATCCTTTTCGTTGAGGACCTCCACCATCACCTCCAAGTGTTGCAGACCAATTCCCAATACAAAGGGTGCTCTGTCCTCCCTGACACTCCCAGAAACTTTGCAGGGAGGACAGGACAGCTCCCTAGAAAAAAACAAGCCCAAAGCCCTGCTTATACAATAGATGTTTGTCACCATTGTCACATCATCACAAAGGGGAAAGAGGAAGCACAGGCTGCAATATTGGCCCCTGTTATGAAAGCAGCAGCTTTGTTTGGGCAGGAAAACAAAACCCACTGAGCAATCAGAAGAGAAGGATTGTTAAAACAAACCGCAAAGAAACACGGGACCAATGGGAAGGTAATCCACAGCAGAGATAAATCCAGGAACCACCAGCCCTGTCCTGGTGCTTCCATTCTGTTTCCCAGGAAGGGCTGCCCAGGCTCCCTTCTGCTCCCAGCCCAGGGACCAAACCCTTCTGCTCGCACCTCCCAGCGCACTCCTTCCCGGATCTTTTCCTACTGCCTCAGCCTTCTACACCTGCTGCTTCCCCAAGCTCTGCCAGCACTTCAGACCTCCCCTCAGAGGGCACAAGCTCTCCCTCATCCTGCGAATACAAGACCAACCATTTTTCACAAACCCCTTGTTTCAGTTGCATTTTCCTATTTTTCAGTGTGACTCAGGAACCCTTGGCATGGGTTATCTCTTGAAGAGCAACTTCATAAGTGAGAAAACACTACCAGGAAAAACCAGCTGAGAGTAAAGAGCATCCCAAAACTCACCCCCTAAAAAGCCCCTGTTCACAAGGACTCCAAGACACACTCCCTTGAAAATAATTTCCTCTTTTCCGAGAAGCTTACAGATACAAGAACGAACAAAAAGATAAGTATTATCCTTTATCCTAAAATACATTTAGCCCCTGCAGAGAAGTATTTAGGAATTAGGAAGTGCCTTCGCCCAGTTACATTTGCTGCCAAAAGAGATAAAAAAGGCAACCCCTCCATATTTCCAAGTATGCTGGCTAAAGAGTTTTTTGGCTACCAAATAAATACTACTGTCCATGGCTATTATTGTTGGAGGGAAAGCCCAGAATGACTCTCATGAAAACTCTTTTCACCCTTAAAAACAATTATAGCAAGGCAGATCAGGAATGTTCTACCCTCTATCCAGAACAAGCCTGGGGGGATGTTTTGTTTTTTTTTACGGAGAAGCAGCAGTTTCCAGAGTGAAAACACTGATTTTGCCTTTCTCCAGCCTAAGCCCATTGTTTACATTTGTAAATGAACTGTGCAAATCTGCTGCTGAGAAAAAGTTTAACTAAGAACACTGAACTTAATAGCAGGTTCAGGTGACTTAACTGTCTTTAGAGGTGTTCATTTCCTATTAGAATTAATTGACCCGTATAAGGGAACAGACTTGACATAATGACACAGTCTCTCAGCACGACCTGGGCTGCCGGCACTGTGCAGTGCTGAACTAGACCGACTGGGACGAGAGGCTTTTTAAAACCCCCAGAGTTCTCCTGGCAGGTAGAAGATGGATGGGCTCCAGCTCCACCCCCAAGCATAACAAGCACTCACTTACCGTCAGTGACGCCTGCAAACAGCAAAGTTCCACTATAAATGCCCGTGGAAAATGGACTTAATTTAATCCCCGGCCCTGCTGCTCTTCTCCTGCTGTCACTCATATCCGAGCCCAGCTCCCACAGCCTGCCCAAGCAGCCAAGCCTGTCCCAGAAAGAGGGCTGCTCTCCCTTCTGACTCTATTTGTTCCACTGGCGGAAGAAAATTCTGCTTTCACCACCTTTTATTCCTACTATTACTCAGGAGAAATCCACAATTTCTTCTCCTGCCAGAGTGCCTCGGGAGCAGTCAAGGCAAGTGCCCTGTGGTGCTGTGACAACTGGACACACCAAGAGGATCGGCTTCCCAATCGTTCCTCCACAACCTGTCCCGACACCACCAGAGCCAGGCACTCTGAGAGAGGGCAGATGCCTTCACTCCAAGGCAAACAGCTGGGCTCCCCAGGGAATACCCTGGCACTGCTACGGGACTGGGTGGGTGCAGCTACCTGGAAAGGCACAGGTGAGGCAAAAGGAAGAGGTGCAGGCCATGCATCCATCCAAACAGCCAACAGTGCCAAAGGCCAACGACATGTCGGAGAAGCCTCTGGGACATCCCACCGTCCAGGAGCACCGAGGGAGAGCCAACTCCGGGACTCACCATCTCTACCTGCTGCACACCCCACCTGAACACACGGAGCCCAAGGCCGCGTCGGTGACACTCTTGCTGTGTTTTCATGCATCTGAGCATCTCCTCTCCAACTTACTCTGCAAGAAAAACCTGGTGCCACTTGTCCTGGATGCCCACAGCAGCGCCCCGGGGACAGGATGAGAGCAGCTCTCCAGAGCTACTGGCACAGAGCTGGCGAGGCCAGAGGGTTCTTCCCACCATGTGGGTGCTCGGCAGCAAGGCACCCACCGCAGCTGCGGTGCCCATGCGACAGGGGACACCCTGTGTCACATTCTGAACTGATGCGACCCATGCCTGTGACACATTCTCCGGTGTCACCACGAGCCGTGCCCCCCTCCACCCCCCGGGTCCCGGCGCTCCAGGGCTGTCCCGGCGGCCTCGGCGGGACGAGGCCCCCGCTCACCTTGAAGTCGCGGCTGTGCTGCGGGGTGTACTCCAGAGTCCAGAGCGCCCGCACCAGCTGCGCCAGCTGCTCCGTGACCTCGCCGGGCGCGGGCGGCGGCCCGTCGGCGGGGGGCGGCCCGCCGCGGAACTGCTCCAGCGCCAGGAACTCGGCGAAGAGCTCGGTGTTGCTGAGGCACTGCAGGATGGCGTTCATGAAGCAGGTGTTGCCGTGGTTGCGCAGCCCCGCCACGCCGGGCACGGCCTCGGAGCCGCCGGCGGGGCGCGGCGGGGGCTCGGGGCTGCGCGGCGGGCCCGGCGGGAAGCAGCTGCCCAGGCCGCCCGCCGCCTGCGGCGGGGGCAGGCGCGGGGCGAGGGCGCCGCGGGGCTCGGGCTCGCTGCTGTAGTGCGAGAGCGTGGAGAGGGTCTTCAGCACGCGGCTCATGAACCCGCCGAGCGACCGCCCGGAGGGCGCCGGGGCGGCGGCCGGGGCCGAGCCCGCGCCGCCGCCCGCCGCCCGCCCGCGGAAGAGCCGCTTGCTGAAGGAGCGCTTCTCCTTGGCGCTGCCGGCCGGCCCGGGGCTGCTCACCCGCGACATGGCGGCGCGGCGCAGCGCGCATCCCCGCTCGGCCCTCTCGGCCCTCGGCCCGCCCGGCGCTCGGCCCGGAGCTCAGCCCGGCGGCGGCCGCCGCATCCCGCCGGGCCGGGTCGGGCCGCGGCTCCGCCGCCTCACGGCGCCGCCATGCAGCGGGCGGGGCGGGGCGCGGCGCCACGTGACCGCACCGCCACCTTAGCGACGGGCAGACGCCGCCGCAGCGCCGCCATCTTTGCTGCGGGCGCGGCGGGCGCGGGGCGGGCACGAGGCGGGCACTGGGCGGGCGGGGCCGGCACGGACCACACCCCCACAGCCCCGGCCAGGCCCCGCCCCCCCGGGCCCCACGCGCGGTGCGGGAGCTCCGCCGCCTCCCGCGGGGCCCGCCCGGCCGTGCCCGCCCCGCCCGGCCCCACAGACGCGCCCGGCCCCGCCGCTCCGCACGGCCCCCGCAGCCTCCGCGGCCACCGTGGGGCGGCGCTGCGCGGCCGCCGAGAGGGGCGGGCGGGCGGCGGCGGGGCGGGCCGGGGCGGGGCCGCGGCGGGAGTAGGTGCCGGGGCGGCCGCCCGTCGCCTCATCGGCAGCGGCGCCGGGGCCGGGAGCGCAGCATGGCCCCACCGGGCCCGGACAGCGGACGAGGTGAGGCGCGGAGGGCGCGGTGTCTCCGCGAAACGGCGAGAGCGGGGAGGGATGCCGGTGGCGGGACGGGACCCCGCGATCGCGGGGCGGCGGGGCACGGGTTAGGGAGGGCTCCGGTCCCACCGCCGCCCCCTCAATGCCCGGTCCTCCCGCAGCGGCCGCCACGGCCCCTGGCAAGAAGATCACGGCGCGGCTGAAGCGGACGCTGCCGGTGCGGGGCCCGCAGGCGCCGACGCTGAGCGAGCTGATGCGCTGGTACTGCCTCAACACCAACACCCACGGCTGCCGCCGCATCGTGGTGTCCCGCGGCCGCCTGCGCCGCCTGCTCTGGATCCTGCTGACCCTCAGCGCTGTGGGGCTCATCCTCTGGCAGTGCGCGGAGCTCCTCATGAACTACTACAGCGCCTCGGTCTCCGTCACCGTCCAGTTCCAGAAGCTGCCCTTCCCTGCTGTCACCATCTGCAACATCAACCCCTACAAGTAAGACCCGGGGGGCTGGCAGGAGGACAAGGGGGATCACCGGCCAGGGTTCCCAGTGAGTCCATCATCCCCCACCAGCCCAACACCAAACCCTTTCCCGGGCTTGTCCCAGTGCTGCTTGTCAGCATTTTCCCTCCGCAGCACCTTGAGTGTAGCATCCCCACTCTATGTTGATGCACTTCAGACACGTGTGGGTTACACTCACGCCCCTCATCTGGCTTCTGAGCTCAGCTCGGTGCATTTCAGTTTCTGCTCCAGACAATCCCTGTCAACTCCTTGGTTCTCTTCAAATTACCTTCTTTCCAGAACCAAATGATTGATGATTACAAACAGTGTCATCTCCTGAAGACTAGAAAGGGCACATCTGTCACTCATCTGTTGCCTCTTTCTTTCCTTATGGGATATTTTGACATTATCCATCAGCAATGCTTTTTCTCCTGTCAAATCACACTTTATGCTGCTGTCTGTTCTGCTGCCAGCACCCCACACCAGTCCCTGCAGGCCATCCAGCTCCCTGGTGTCTCTACACAGAAGTCTTATTTCCACATGTTCTGCCTTCTTGGGCTTCCTAACACGAGGAGCTTGTGAGTCTTGCGAGGGCTTTCTCTGTATTTCAGTCTATTCTGCTTCCTGTGGTCCTTGCTCTGAGCTCTCTGCACGGACATAGCTGTGTCTGCCCTCCCCAGTATAAGAGAGGGAGTGGTGTGAGACCCCCACGAGGAATTCTGTCCTGAGCCACGGGATCCACAGCAGCAGGCAGAGCGCCGTGGCTGGGCGGTGAGGTGGGACAGGGTGTCACTGTGTCACATTGTCTGCCATGCAGGTACAGTGCCATGAAAGAATATTTGTCTGAATTGGACAAAGAGACAAAAAAAGCTTTGGAGACTTTCTACGGGTTTTCCGAGGGCAAGTCCAAGGTACGCCGGTCAGTGGATGATTGGAACAGCACAGGGAGCGACTTCTTCCGGCAGATCCCTCTGCTGAAGGTCGAGGACTTCTCTAGGACAGCAACTGACCTGCACAGTGGGCAGAAGAGGAAAATAGAGGGAAGTGTCTTTCACAAGGACTCGTCCATCGTGAACTCCGGCGATTCCAATGACATCATCGGCTTTCAGCTGGTGAGTGTCACTGTGCCCTGGCCAGCAAGTTCCCTGTGGGGCAGCCAAGGGCTGTTTGGGGTCAGTGTCCCTCTGTCTGATTTAACTGCCTGCTCGGGTGGCTTTACTGTGAACGGTGTGAAGAGCCTGTCAGCTCTTCTGCCCAAGCCTCCCTGGCAGCTGCAGATTAACCTTCAACTCCCTGGGAGGGAAATACCTTCCTAAAATCTTTCCAGATAAAGTCAGTGCCTTCTGTGATCTTTCCTTTGGGCCTAAAACATTTGGTTACATCACTTAGCCCTGAATAAAAGGTCTTTGATGCCCGTTTGTGCCACTGTAACTTCATACGTGATTATTTTTGTGGAAGAGAAACACTATCACACATACCTTGTAGAATCCATAATTTCTTTCCATGTGAAACATTTTCCCCCTTTTGTGCTTGTCAGTGTGACGCAAACAACAGCAGTGAGTGTGCCCTGTACACGTTCAGTTCGGGTGTTAATGCTATCCAGGAGTGGTACAAGCTGCATTACATGAACATCATGGCACAAATTCCCCTGGAGACTAAAGAAAAATTGAGTTATTCTGCTGATGACCTTCTACTGACATGTTTCTTTGATGGCCTATCTTGTGACAAAAGGTCAGTGCACAGAAAATTCCTGCCAGCTAACAGCTTATTTCCAAGTCCATGAGATGTAGGAATGGAATATTTGGTATTTGCTGAATTCCAGCAGGAGCCACTGCCATTGTTTAAATCAAAGCAAATATTTTCATCTTCCTGAAATTAATTATGCTCTTTGATTTAATTTGTCTTAGTGTTCTGCTGTCCACATTTCAGATAAACCTATATTTATCCTCGGCAGAATCAAATCTACCTGCTTGTGGTTGTGGCAGTGCAATTCCTATGTGTCCTGCTAGAAGGAAAGGCATCCCGGGGGAGCAGTTGTAGATGGGAATGATAGTGTGGCTGTAGATACTTGGCTGTCAGATGGGAGAGGGCTCTGTGTATCCCCCACTTCCTGATAGTTCTGTGAATCTGCTTCCCCCACCTTTTCAGCCTCCATTCCCACATGAAAATCTCCTCAAATTTCCTTTTCCTGATCTATTAAAGCAGATCATAGTGCCATGTAGTTTTAAGATATTCAGAAAGAGACACACACCTTTCAGCACAATAAACTGCTTAGAAGGAAAGACCAAACCCCTCATGCAGTCCTGGTCTGTCCCTGCCAAAACCAAAGCCAGATGTGCTGCTTTTCTCCCAGAGACAGAACTGCAGGGATCAGTGTCACAATATTCGATTTCTTCCAGGCACTTCACTCGTTTCCATCACCCTCTCCATGGCAACTGCTACACTTTCAACAGCGGTGAGAACGGGACCATCCTGAGCACCTCCACAGGTGGCAGCGAGTACGGTGAGTGGGGGCAGTTTGTGCACGTTTGTTGTTCCAGTTTGTACAAGTGTGTTGTTCTGGGGCGGTTTGCAGAGGAACTGTTTGATAACAAGTGTTTCAGCGAACTGGATCCTGCTGGAGCACGAGAGGTGTGTTGGCTGTAGATGTACAGGCTGATTGGGGAAATGCCTGTTTGAACTAGTGCAAACTCTTGCCTGAGAATACAGATAATATCATTGCATCACTAATGTTTTCCAGCTGAAATCACTGCTGCCGAGTTATATAACTTTTTTTAAGTGAGTTTCAGCCACGTTCTCAGCAGGTTTTATTTGTTTGCTGTACTCGGGGCCACCAAGGGATGTTACTGGCTGCAGTTGTCTGAGACTGACCCGGCAGAGGCTGGGCTTGGCTATTACAGTTCTACTTAAGGCCGGATAACATTAAATAAACCGTGCTGCTCTGGCTCCTGATATAACTGTTCTGTGTCTGTTGTCTCTGTGGTTCAGGATTGCAGGTGGTTCTGTACATTGACGAAGCAGACTACAACCCCTTCCTGGTGACATCCACAGGAGCCAAGATCATTGTCCATGATCAGAACGAGTATCCCTTCATTGAAGACATCGGCACAGAAATTGAGACTGCAGCAGCCACCTCCATAGGGATGCACTTTGTGAGTGGAAGCAATCTCCTTTCCAGGTGTACCTTTGCCTCGGGAGAGCTGTAAATGGGAATTGATGGGGTGTTTGCAGGGAGCCAGCAGCTGGAAGGCTTCTAAATACCTCCCACTCAGCAGCTCAAGTGCCCTGAGGAAAATCCTGTGATAGCACTTTTCTGAACAAAAGAAGCCATGGGAAAATCAGGTCTTGATAAATGCAACAGCTCTTGGGATCTTGTTTGTTCTCCCTTTTCTCCCAGCCCTTGGCTTTCCAGGGGATTTTTGGTTTTGATTTCACAGCAAAATCCACAACCACAGAAATGTGCTGTCAAGTGCCTCGGTTAGCTTTAGCAGTGAGCAGTGAGTTTCATGCCACGCGGGTCCCAGGGCGGAGGACGGGGTGCTGTGAGTCCCCCGCTGGGTTGGGGCCGTTTAACTGTTTTGTGGGTGCAGTCCTCATTTTGCTGGGTTTCTGCCTATCCCGGCTGTAAAAACACCCTCGTGGACAGCAGCTCTGCCTTTGGCAGTATAGCTAAACATCTTACCTGCTGATGGCAAGGAGGGCTGCAGCTCCCAGTTTCCCCATTTGGCATAATTCAGAAAAGGCATTTGACCCAAAGGGCTTCGTTCCTCAGCAGAGCAGTGAAAGCTGTGCCAGATCCCTTTTATCTGGATGGGCTGTTAAGTGAGCACTTCAGCTCTGCCTTTCTTCCTGATGGTCGGGTCGGAGCATCAGCCATCCTGCTTATCTGGGTGTGC